TTTTTTTTTTTTTTTTTTTTCAAGAAAATCTTTCCCTATACATATATATTTTCAATATACACACATCTCTACTATAAAACAATTTGATTAGTTCTATTGGTGGCACGTTTTGCAGTAGTAAGGTATCCTTAACGATTAATCTTTATCATTCTCATTTTATTATTTATATAATCACAAAAAGATTTTATAAATTATTCAATAAGTATAATTTTTTTATATTAATTTTGGCTAGAAGCGATATCCTTCGATATCCTTGTTTGATATATACATATATGCCATATATATATGTGTATGTATATACTAAACTTTATAATGCTACTAATGTCACATCAATATTACATACAAAATAATAGAAACGGTACTCTCTACAAATATACATTATATTATAGAAAGATATTGACGATATGTATGAAAACTTGCAAGTTCGTTTGTATGAATCCTTATTATACCTAATTGTGGTGTCATTATTCAGTCAAACATGTATTATTAACAAAAAAAAAGAGAACTTCAGAATGTTCATTAAAAATGAATTTTTTTGCTTTATTTTTATGAACATTTTGAAGTGCTCGGTAACATTTCGAGTCAATAGCTATGGTACAGAACAAGAGAATTCTTACAAGATGCTTATGTTTTAACTAATGATTTAAAAAAGTGGACGGGATGATAACGGGCAAAGTATCGTTTGTAGTTTCGAGAAAGAGAAGCACGCGATTGTTTCGCTCAAATGACTGAATTTGTTGAGAAAAAAAATTCGTATGAGACACTCGCCCGCGTTATTTTGAATTTTATTTTCATTTATGGCACGACGTTGGTGCGGCTGTGAAGACTTCATTAAACATTTTCTGTTTTAAAAAAAAGTACATTGTATATTTTGGCAGTTGCGATTCAGCATTTCGTTTTACATGCCAACCGATATCGCGTGGTTGGCGTACGAATATGAGGAAATAAAACAGCGTCTACATAGAGGACATATAGCATTCTCAACTTGATTGTCTAATACAAATTAATCTTCTTTGTGATAACTTTGCGACACATGTGACAGGTCTTCAAGGGAGCTGCACAGTGCTCGCAAGCCCCATGGCCACATAAGAAAGCGACATTTCGGCGGCGTTCCATGCAGATGCTGCACATATTGGCTTCCTCCAAATCGGCCACTCTCGTCTCCAAATAACGTAAGCGTTCTAAATCCTTATCTTTCTCTCTCTCCTTACTCTGATGATCTTCCTCCTTTTTCTTATCATCCAGCGCATTATCTTTCACCTTTTCTTCCTGTTTTGTCAGAGGAATTTCACCCGTTGCCACTTGGCCATCTATAATAAATTGCAAAATGGCAAACATCTTTAATGAAATTAAGATACTTGACGTTATGTGATACTTTTTTTTTCAATTAATTTACTATGTTGAATATTTTTCTTTAATGTTATGTTGACGAAACACAATTTCAAATATTTCCTTAGTATTTGCTCTGTAATAGTTCTGTTACAGATTTTAGATTTCACAATATTAAAGTGCTTACATAACATTGAGAAACTAAACTTTAGTGGTAGTGGTACCAAACCTTTATGAACAATATTTCTTATCACTTTCAAAAATATTTTTTTTACGACTTGCCTGCTTGTATATAATTAAGAACGGAAAATATTACTTATGGCGATTCAACGCACGCTTATTCTTGATGAACAAAATATTCTGGATGAACGTACATAATTCACTCGAATTTATTTTGAAATTTTTCATGATCCATCAAAGATCAATTCTTAACTCACCAATTTCTGTGGGTTGCAACCCACACTTTGAGAATCTCTGGTTTAGTGGATCAAGGATATCCATAATCTTAATGGATGTCCTTTAATGCATTAAGAATAACATTAAGAGTACCTTGGTTAGTTTTCGTTTTGGCAATTCCACGACCACAGTGTGTACAGTTGATGACAACACTGCTGCCCGGATTAAATCTATTTCCATCTTTAATCGTGCTTGTCACTATACCTAAACAACCATGACACTCAGACGCGTCACCGGAGCCCGGAATACATTTTCTTGTTCCGTGCACTTCTGATTGCAGCGCTGTGTCTATGTGATATATGGAAGGTTGAGAAGCAGGAGTAGTATTTTCTATCCTGTAACAGGCCCGATAAAAATCAATTTTCAAGATTAGATGGAGTTTGAATTTTAGAAAAGTTTTAACTTCACACAATTATACATCAAGTTACATACTCTAATTGACTTTGACTTTGGTACTGATAACACCGTAGCAAATCAGCATACGGAGCGAGCTGAAGATCAGCTTCGAGAAGATCCAACGGCGTTTTATTCTTCGAGTTTCTCGTGTGTTCTAGAAGTGTACAACTCCTGTCCACGCTTATTAGGAAACAGGCTAACGCGAGTTCTGTTTTCGCGCCTTGCCTGGTTAAATTTTGCCATATCTGCGATAAACATTGCTCGACTAATGTAACCGACGAAGAGAAAGTTAGAATATTAAAAAAAGAAGAAACATAACGTACAGCATAGATAAGGGGAGAATCCCGACAACTTTCAGGCGTAGGAACCACGTTGCTCTGATTAGGACTCTTCACTATAGCGATATGTAGCACCGTGTCACCGTCCGCGTCCGTGCTAGCAATATCAGCATTGTGATGCACAAGAAACTCCACCAAAGCCCAGTGTCCTTGAGAAGTAGCTAAGTGCAAGGGAGTCTGTCGACGATTGTTTCGCAGATCAACCTTTGCATTTCCACCGGTCGGCGAAAGAAGAATCGCGGCTACGTCTTTGTGACCGTTTAAAGCTGCAAGGTGTAGTGCTGCGAAACCGTCTTCTTTTTTAACGTCTATCAGATGCCTCGCTCGCGCTACTAATCTCTCCGTCGCGCTGCATTAAAGAAAGTGTATGTTGACGATTAAATCTCAGCACGATTTACTGGTGAAGAATCGATGGTACTTACTGAGCATTGCCCTTCAAAGCGGCGTGATGCAGCACGTTGAAGCCTCGCTTATTCCTCAGAGTGAAATCCACTTTGTCGCATGCACAGAGGGCATCAATTATGTCCAGAGCGTCCTTCCCAATGGCATCGTGCAATGCTGTGTCTCCGTACGAGTCCTGAAGATTAACGTCGCAATGGTGACGTAACAATACTTTGACACACTGTGCGTGTTGTTTGTTCACAGCTACGTGCAACGCGCTGCATTTGCCGTTGTTCACGGCATTGATCGCCGCGCCACGTGACAAAAGCAACTCCATTATTTCTGGTTGATTGCTGCATGAAATGAAAAAATTCTTAAAAATCTAATTTTGAATTTAATTCTGAATATACATAATTGTTGTAAAATTGAACAGATTTTGCAACAAACCCGAAAGCAGCGTAGTGAAGAGGCGTATCTCCATCCTCGTCTATGGCTCGTAAAGATGCCCCGGCATCCAGAAGAAGAGTACAAAGATCCTTTTGTCCCTGATGCGCCGCTACTTGCAGGCAAGTCTTTTTACCGCCCCCTGGACCGCCAGCTCTTGCATCTACTCTGCCAGGATACTTTTTCAAAAATTCTTGAACTGCCAAGACTCCAGCTTCACCTCTGGCTGCGTCTCTCAATAGTTTTTCAACTTCTATGTCGACACCTTCGGCTGTGCGAGTAAGAATAAACTTATAGTACTTACACGTACTATATAAATCATTTCTGAGATTAATAGAAATGTACTTGTCCAATCACGACTTCTGTTTGCTTCATCCTGCAGAGTAACAGTTTCAGTTCCAGGAGGAACAGGCGTGACGCTCAAAGGATTAAACGTCCACGTATGACCATCTAGTGCTACTCTCAAATCTCCATCAGAATATATTTTAATTACTTTGCCGGTTTTTCCTAAGGCCTACAATTATTTTTACCGTAAGTTTAAGTATAATTAAGTATATAATAATAATGGAAGTATATAATAATAATGGAAGTATTAACAAACTTACGTCTTTCATTACATCTATCCATTCTCCGTGACCTCGCTGATAGATTTTGACCGTTGATAAGTCAGTCTTTACTCTGACTATGTCCCCCAAGGAGAAAGTGTCTTTGCTAATGACTTTTGTTAATGCACCCGGATGAAATGTCCATCTGTTGTTGCATCCCTCGAACTGCACACGGATATCTCCCTTATCCGTGATACGATGAACTCTGCCGATTTTTCCTATGTAATCGGCCATACGTGGATTCCAACCACCGTGACCTTCCTGCATTTCTTTTAATGTCTCTACATCAACCAACACTTTAATTTTATCGCCAACGTTCAACGTTGCATGACGAGGACTAGATACAGCGAAAGGAACACCACTTTTGGTCGGAGTTACGTTGACTCCGTTGTCCGGTACGGTCATTATCGGTTGTCCAAGAAGTGGAAGGTGTTCTTTATAGTATGTGCCAGCCGTAGCTTCCTCTACGTAACACAAATCCACACAACCTTTGTACCCGAGACGATAGACGTTTGTGCTGCCCTTGGACCATGATACAGTTGCCACTGACCGACTACTTTCATTGTCCCATCCACGAATATCCATAACTCTGCCAGTTTTTCCTAGAATGATACATTCTAAATGTCAAGTTGTTAAATCATATTTGCCATATTTGTCAAATCTAAAAATTTCCTCATTGCAGCGTTATATAAATATGTATATTATGGATATTTATGAAAATTCATATTTGTAGCAAAGATGATTTGAAAAATAGAACGTAAGTAGAGAATTGATTTGACTACAAGTATTATACTTTTTATGTTTTATATTATTTTATTTATAGATCTTATTTATACTTTCAGATTTGCCAAATATGTGAACATTCACAATGAGATTACAAGTAGAACTAAAATGTGATACCTCTTCCTCCATCTTGATTTCCCCATTCCCAATCAGGACCACGAACAACTTTGGCCCCAATAAATATCCCTTTTAGAGGGATCTTAGTGCAGCCTTCTCTCGGAGTTAATTGAATCCTATGTATCAGAAACGATTTTGAAACAACTCGTATATCTAATCATCAAGCAAAAGAGTGTAATTCTTGATAAATTTACCCCACAGAATTGGCTGTTTGAAATCTCTCGAAACAATGGTTGAGATCATGCACGTCGGCCATATAGCACTGAGTACATAAGTCATAATCACAGCATTGCATACACTTCCACCTAATGCCAATTATTCCGTGTCTTTTGCATCCGTCACATATGATATTCGCATGTTTGATGCCAGTGGCTGCATTGTCAAATATCAACAGGTCATAAGCACCTTGATATCCAATCCTGTAATTACTCCTGGACCCATGGTCCCACTGGACTATGGCAGTTTTATCTGGTGTCCTGTCAGACGGATTTGGGCTAGAAGCCGAATTGCCAAATGAAGGAGGTCTACCAATTTCGACAACTGTCCCTGCATGACCCTCTCCACCATCTTGATCTTCCCACTTCCAATCCTGTCCACGGACTACCCTCAAACCAACTTCCAACATTTCCAACTTCACGTAATGCTGTGCCGTGACCCTTTGGTAAAGAAACCAATCGTAAGTTGTTTTATCATGACAGATTACAAATCAAACAGTGACAAAGAATTTAGCATTTCTGTATAGTCTATGTCCATAAGATTTTGATTCTTCAATGGTACATTATATTTCTGACCAATTATTCATGACACATAACACCGACTTGAGCTTACTACTGTTCACAATCCAGTTCACATTTTCTTATCATAACTCACCAAAGTGGTACATGTATGTCACTCCTTGAATTTTTTTCAAGAGCAAAGGCTTATGGAGCAAGTCACTATTTTTGTTTATTCTTATGTTTACGGGAGATTCGCATCGGGTAATTAAAGAGCCCAAGCGTGTGTGTGCAACAGGATTAATTATATTTTACTGGTCAAAGAGAAAGAGAGAGAAAAAAAGGGAACAATTGGATAATGTTCGATTTCCAACCATACGTACCTGAGATGGTCAAACCTAACACGACGTATTTTATGAATCATAAGCACGCGTCCGGCTTTCCACGCAGGTCCATAGGCCTTGAATCACGGGTAAACGCAACGGGACGAACGCGCACGAAAGCACTCCGAGGCGATTTCCTTTACTCGACGACATCGTTAACAAGAGCCGCGAACGTTCATCCCGATAAAGATTCTGTGTCCGTGTCAACGATCGTAACCTTACAACTCGGGGGCTGGGCGAAGGCGCCTCTTTCGAGTGATCTCAGAGGCTAATGGAAAACCAGAGAGGAGAGACTTTTTTCTTCCTTTTTCCTTTTTTTTTTTTAACAAATCTTGAAACGAAAATTCGAGGCATGTAAAATTTGCGGCTTTCTTCTTTCCGTGATTTCTTTGCTGACTGAATGTATCCAATTAAAGATATTATTAGTTTCTCAATATTTAAAAATCATCGATATTCAAAAGTTATCAAAAGGTATTTAGAAATTTGTACGTGTTTTATATATGTAATTAATTGAACGTGTGAGCGACTTGCAATGTTAGTGATTGAATTAATAGAATGAATTGATACTGGTTTGACATGAGTTTTTAGATTTCAATAAAAATATTGTCAGTATGAAATGAATTCGCGCCTTGAAATGGATGCGCAAGACAGGTCGATACTGCAGTGGCGATTTTACCGACCGAAGTCTATGGCGTCTAAGAGTATGCCGTGCGACATGCAGGAATTTTTTCGGTACGAATAAATTTCTCAAATAATGACCACCGCGCCTTGAAGTATTTCGTATTCTGTCTATCAAAGAGGACACGTCGAACAAGAGAAACGGTAGATTCAGTGCAATTTACCGCGAACGAAGTTCAAGTCTCCTTCCGCGTCGTAAATTTCCGTTTTTACTCAATGATTAGTGACAGATCTGACTGTTTCCATCGAGCTCTGTATCACGGAGTTACACTTTTGGTAAATGGGAGAGGGGAGGATTTATGATGACTCACAAAAGTATTTGATTTTTTATCGTTTTTTTAAAACTTTTATGTATATATTATATGTATTGTATATGACATACATTATATATATATTGTATTATATATATGTTATATAATATATATTACATATATTGTATATTATATATATTATAATATAATAGTATATATTATATGTAGTATAATATTTAATTGGATAGATTGGATTTTGAATGTCTGAAATTCGATGTTAGCTTGTTGAAAAAAAGAATACCTGGTTTATTGATAAGCTTTCGATATTTAGATATTTAATTCTCTTTACATGAGCATATACTTGTTTCGTGTGATAAAGATTCATTGATTTAAAATACTGCAACATATGATGGATAATTAACCGTTCAAATATATTTGTGATCTGTACGAAATATATACCTATAGTTGCAGTTGTAATGTTGCATTAAGACTACCAAAATTCTGAAGATCTATCGAAACTTGAAGATTCTGAACTTATTGGAGTACTTCGAATCGAAATCGAAATTCGAACATTCGTCCCAGAATAAAATCTGTGAAGAATTATTTTAGTTCGAATTTTCTTTAACTTAATTTTCTATTTGATCATTCTTATTTATCAGCATTTGTTCCGATTGTTATACACGTATGTTGTATACTTTGCATCAATGGTAATTTCTCGGATAAAATATTTCACTGAATGAGAAATAAATAGCGAGCGTAAAACAATTTCTCTCTTTTTACAAATCATTTAATGAAATCGAAAGTTTAACTTCGAAAGAGACAAGAAACCAGAGAAAGATTTTTTTCCCCCTTTTCTTTCCTTCATCGAATATCATTTTTCTTTTTTTTCGATGTCGTTGTGAGGTTATTTAACTTCGGGTTAATCGTCTCGTTTCTATTAGTAACTGCAATTTGAAGAGCAGCCACGGTGTGTTAACAACCAACTTCTCGCGTTTACCATCGATCGTAGTCGATTGCAGCAGGGGATTGCCGTGGTGAAGTCTGCGAGGTCAATTTTTGATATTCTGTTCGCGAGGCGGCGCGCGTTTTATCGTGAATAACGGACCTAACGGATTCAGCGGAATTACTGAACTTATGTTGGTGAAATACGGACAGCCACTAAGCGTGCACCTCGAGTTTCACCGCGGGTGACAGTTCCCCACCGGTATTATCGTCATTGTTGTTTCACATAACCTCAAAGTGATCGTGTAAAGCCGAGGAAATTTTCGCTGAGTGAAGAATGAATCCGGGTGGAGACGGAAGCGGGGACGGGAACATAGAACGATACGGAGTCGGACGTGGCCGTGGTCGAGGGCCTTGGACCTCTAACCCGCAAGAAAGTGCTATGTTGAGGAGACCTCATCACTCTACATCTGGAGTGCAAACAGGTTGCTATGATTTATAAGGGAGTTCTTAATGAAGTAGCCACCTATGTCAGATCCTGCCATCTATGTTAAATTTCATGCTTTGTTCATGTTCATTTATGTTGTAATTTTTTAGGATCAATGGATCAAAGGAATACAGAACAAAACAAATTCGACAAATCGTTTGACGATATTATACAGAATTCCACACTGTCAGTTTATGCAGCTGAATTTGTCCCAAAATCATATTCTGTTAAACAACCAGTGAGTATTTCTTTTTTTTTATGGTTATGTTGGTCATGTAGTTGAAGTGACAAAAGTACAGATTGTTTGTATTTGCTTTACAATACAGCATCATCATCATCAACCTCATCCGAGATATCCAAAACATTCAGTTCAAGATAGGTTACAAGTGGCGCGTGAGATACCCCTCCAAGTGCAAATGATGCAACAAAATCCTGTATGTAATTATGATGCTTATCAGTATTATCAGTAGAGCAAGTTTAACAGTTCGATAACCTTTTGCAAACCAACAGGATCAGCCATCAAATATGCAAGATTACGGACAATTCGATGGAAGCTCAGGGGATTACAAGGACAAACATCAGGTTCGTATTTTAAGAAAATATGGAAATGAATGAAAATTAATTTTAATCTTTTAATTGACTTATTGTTTGTGTTGACAGGATCAGAACATAGAAGATGATAATTATTTAATTGAATTTGCAAACATAACGCAGAATTTAATGAGTGTTATACATTCATTGATATTAAATCCAGGTCATTTCACTTTAATCGTGCCACCACTTATTAATAACCTTAGGCCTTATTTAGGATTTCCTAGTCAGTTTCAAGAAATTATAAAAATGATAATTCAGCAGGTATATTCTTATATATGTTTATTTCTCATTAATTAGAAAAAGAATTGTGTTTATGTGTCGAATTATTTCCAGTCCATAAACGAGGGTAATTTTCGGTACAGTGGTGCTCGACTTTGCGCCTCTTTAGACAGCAGTTTAACTCCTATAGAACAGACATCTTTCAGATGGACTTTGTATACTCTGTGAGTTATTAAATACAAGTGTAATTCATCTTAATTGATCTTAAATAGTCAACACCTTAATTTAATATATATTGGCAACAGGTGTAAAAATGAAACAGATAGTCAAGCTTCTAATTGGCAGCAAAAGGAGGATCACACAGAAGAAGAGCAGAAAAAATGTCATGGTTTGATATTACTTTTAGCTGAACTAGTTACTCAAATGGAACAAACTTCTGCTTTTACTTTAGGAGACTTATTAATTCAGCTTATTATTATTGTACTAAACAAACCCGCGCCAAATTCTGTCAAGAATATCTGTCAAGCCCTTAAGGTATATAAGATGCTCTAAAATCCTGAATGTTTATCTAGAATCTAAGTTTCTAGAAGTCTAAGATCCAATTTTTTTGAATTCACCACATTAATCTTTCAATATGGTTTCCAGTTGGCAGGACAAACTTTGGAAAAAGATAAGGGTGATTGTCGACGTAAAGAGATGGAAAATATGATGCGAGCTTTGACAGAACTTGTGACAGAAGGTAGAGTGGATTCACATGTAGGATACATGGTTCATAGTGTCCACGAGTTAAGAAATGGAAATTGGGGACAAAGTTCTAACAATTCTGTGACGGTGGAATCGACAGTGGAACTATTAGATCCCAATCAGGCTATCGACGAACCAGTTTTATATGGTCCTGACGGCAAAGTATTAACTCCGGAGGAAAATAAATTCTTGGAACAAGTTCCCGATAGTACAACGAATATCGAGGACCATATGTATGTATTTAATGATTGTATTGTAGTACATTAAGAGTTTGTTAAGTATGTTAATTTCGAACATATAATGACAAACCAGTCATATCTTTTCTTCTAATGCGAATTTGATCTATATATGTGAATATAGTTTCACAATCACTTTTTATATATATGAATATTTTTATAGTATATCGGAACAGGGATATGAAGGCGAAGAGACATGGATGTCAGAGGACGACGACATAGATGCAGCTTACGAAGAGTTTTTAAAGAATATTCCGAAGCAAATTAAAAACCAGACACAGAAATAATCGGGGACGCGCATAATGATTGCCTACTATATCGTGTAATTTCGCCTCATAGTTGGAAACTATGAGAGTGGTTTCCTAAATTTCGTTTGCAAATTTTTATAATGTAAAACGAAATGCAGACTAAATTGAACGGTATGCCGGAAGTTTTTGCATTTGTACAATAGATAATCCAATGAAATAGTTTTTGTCGTTAATTAACAAATATATTTGAGAAAGCAATTTTGTGGAGCCATCTAATTTGTTTTTATCTAGCTGGTACGTTACTTTTATCATGCACACAGTTTTTAAAATTTAATAATGAAAAAATATCACAGAAGTTTGTTCCTAGAATGAAAAACAACATGATCTATTTGTCTATGATATAGAAATTTATTATTAAATTATTTAAATTATTGTAATAAATCAGCCGAACAAATAAGGTAAAATATTATGTTGTCTTTTCATCATTTTACGATTATTGTTAAGTCTATTACAATTGTTGTCAAGAATCGAAAAGTTTTGATACCTTTAATTAGCTTTTTTGCAGGTGTCATAATTTGCCAGATTGATTGTGCTCTCTGTTCGTTTGTACAAACAAGTCTTATAAATTTTTCGCAGTTTTATAAATTTTAAGTAATTTTTAATTTTGAGATTTCGATCCTTTTGTTTTACTTAATTTTTAAATACAGTTACGCATATGACGACCATTCCGCCGATGATCATCATAGCGCGCACGTGAAACCATCGTCACTGACAGGTCCATTTTTGGCGCGAAAGGATGATTGCCCATCGAATAATAGATTACTCACGCTCTCTGTATTAAATTTGTAACCGGTACTTTTTCCAAATATATTTGAAAATCCCGTCATCGGGTCTACATTCCGACCAGCAAAAGAATCAATCTATGAAAAAAAAAAAATAGTTCTATCACTATGTAAGTATATATCATTTCAAACTCGATCGCGATTTCTTAGGATGTTATTTATTAATTTATACGATCGATATATTAATATTTAATTAGAAAACAAATTTTTGTAACAAGA